GCACCACCGCTCATTGTCCAGGCTCGCCAGGAAGAGGGCTATGTACAACCTTGACCGTCACCAAACAGAAACCTACTGCAAGGTACACTGCTTCATTTTCCGTGTTTTGTCCAAAATGTGAACAGACTTTCCGTAATTCTTTACGATCCGCAAGCTGCCGGAATCCGAGCAAGAAGGCACTATCTTGCAGTATTTTTTCCCAATGAAATCAACTTCATTGAATAAAGATAAATATAATGACATGGACTACATCATAAGTAGCTTCCGTGACGATATTGATTAGTTTAATGACGAAAACCGATCACCTCTTTATAGAAGAAACTGGCGGATATGTGAGGAAATGAGCGTCATCGCGGAAGTATACCAATAGACGAAATGTCGTAATTAGATACTTTTAAACTATCAAAACCTGGCAGGTTCATAGGCACCCATATTAAGGTCTTGTGTTTGTAAGCTTAGTACTTTAAAAGAGCATTTGATACAGTGCGAAAGTGGTATCTCAATATCTGACTGGGTTTGTCATCACTACCCACTCATTCCCACAACCGGTTAACCGCCTTTCCTTGAACGACAGGGGCAATCACAAAGGGCGCTATTGAAGCCAGGCGCCCCGTGCTCACACTCAACCAAATGTCGAGGAAGTGACAGTTCTTACGATGTTACAGTGGTAGATCCAATACTTGTGCCCATTCCATCTTGTCGAGACTCCCTAGTTAGAAGTTTCCGTGTCAAGGACCATCGTTCTGTGGTGCTGCTGAGATAGTTGTAATCTTGTATTCCTGAGTAACTATGTACAGTCGTATGTACGGATGTCATTGTTACTGGACTGACGGGTGCAATAGTTTAGCATTGCCTTTAATTCAACATATATCATCAATTACGTTTCTTGCTCCAATTAACTTTGTGGGATTACCTCGCCATAATGGGGCTCTTAAGAAGCAGAGACTTAACAATTTAATCCCGATCTCTATGTCATTACAAGGATATCTATCCTATGGTAAAAATAAATCATATATGCTGTCGGGCAAAGGAATATTACAGAATACATGTATCTAAGTATACAAGTATTTAGAACAGGATTTGACCTAAACAAAACCAAGACGTTATAAAAGGTGTACTAACGAAATTCTTTAAAGGCATTTAGAAGTTGGTGTAGTAATACAAGACAAAGTATATGCCACAACTATTGTACCTTTATCAAACACCTCGTCGAATAACAATTACTTGCTTGTTTCATATGCAGAATGCATTAAACGCGGTTGAATACTTTCTTGTACTGGCAGTGTAGGGAAGCTAAAGGAAAGGTCTCAGATGTAGTGTAGTTATCGTGTGCAGCGCATAAAAGCATACCTGGAGTGCTCATGAGAGATGATAGTTTCTCCTTGGGCTTCGACTCTGGGTAGACGTCAAAGAAACGTTCTTTCTGGAACAAACATCCAAAGGCTTTGAACATATGTGAGTATGTCCACTTATCTGCCTCGACCAGGCAATCCAGTGACCGATCCGTGAAGATCCGGATAAGAATTGGTCTTCAGTAACCAATGCTTGTCGTAAAAGGCGACTACCGAGATATGGTAGTCCGACTCACATGTCATCGTATCCCAACTGGGTGGAACGATGCTCATGATATTAATCACTGGATTGTCTGGTCCAGACCCGATTATCTACAGAGCGCCGCCATATAGCTTGAATATTGCCGAGTGAGGCGTAAAACTATACTCACTCACTCAAGTGACCAACACCATGAGCATCGGTCTACACAATTGAGATACGATGACATGTATCAAGCATGGGTTCATTTTTCCGACATAAACTCCGACCTTGTACCGTAATCTCTCACTCGCTTGACGGTGCTAGTTGGCGCTGACCTATGGTTCTACTCATGTTGTTTCCCTTTCCTGTACAGCCACTTCAGAGGGGCGAATAAAGTTCATACTTAACCAAAGACTTAACTTCCGCACTTACTTTTAACCCCCCGTATGGGAATATAACGAAATGATTAACCATATATTTGTTTTATTATTCTTTTTATTTGTTCCCATAGCTTTTTTGTTGTTGTTGTTTTCAAAACTTTATTCCTGGAAAAAAAGTACAACTGTTCCCATAGTTTATTACAAGCATTTAAAGCAATAAATGTACAAATGTATAATCAAAGTTCAGTGGGTTCAACAGAAATGTTACATCAACTGATAGCGTAAATTTTTATCCAGTAAAGTTATGCAACGTCAATTAAAGATTAAATAAAAAATTCAATATTGAGAAGATAGGAAACCATCTGTCTGAAAATGTTTCAAAATTATTGTTTCTTTTAAGCGTGTAAATGTCTTTCCAAATTTTTAAGTATATCTTTTAGCAGAAAAGATTATCTGATTTTGCAATGGCTTTTTATCTAAAATGCCAAACCAAAGTTTTTGTTATTTCAAAGTTTTGAAAATTGTGACATTGTTCTGAATTCAGTATGACTAAGCACTAACAGTCGAGATTGTAAGTCAAAATTAAATATAGTGAGTGGGTTTAGTTTTACGCCGCACTCAGCAGTATTCCAGCTGCATAGCGGCGGTCTGTAAATAATCGAGTCTGGACCAGACAATCCAGTGATCAACAACATGAGCATCGATCTAAGCAATTGGGATACGATGACATGTGTGAGACTGACCACCCGACCCCTTTAGTCGCCTTTGACGACAAGCATGGGTTACTGAAGACCAATTCTCTAACGGATCCTCACTGGTAGAAGTTGAATAATCCAATAACCACAGCATAAGTCAGCCAGTGAAAATTCCGTTTGTGCCGCTGTAAGCATTGCGGTTGCTCTCTCTGAAAATAGTTTCATTTGAATAATTTCAAATTAATGTCTTATTTGGCTTCTCAAGAATGATATTGGAAAAGTAAAACATGTTTCTCAGTGTGACATATGACACAACGAGAAAATTTCAAGCAACATATTTAATTATCCTTAGCCACTTGAATGAACATACAGCAACAAAACATATGGTATATTTTGTCATCAATTATTTCGACATGTCACATTTGCCATCCGTTTTAACTGTTGTGATTTGTGCGACTGTCTGGAGGTTAAATGATTCGTATAATTAGATCACCGATATACATGATCATTTCACAATCAACCAGTCTTGTGTATGAAAGCATCAAAACGTCTCAGACAGACTTATGTTAATGCCAAACACTTAGTCCAAACAGACTCTTTATGGATCACGCAGACTGCTGTGTTTCAAAGGAACGCATTTACATACTCCTTCAGATATTTATGTCTAGACTGTATACTTCCTTTGACACATACATGCACGGTATTTGATGTGACTTGTCCACTAATATAGGAAACAAAGCAGAACTGGAACCTATCCAAACCAATTGCCTTGAACGGAATAGTAGTGATGTAGATTGCGCCGTCCAATAACATGGGTATGTTGCCTCATTGCTCCTAAGGGTAGATTTAGCTTCAAAATCCGTGTTTACCCTGAGATCGTTGATCTACAGTTCAGTCATATTGGACAGGAGATTATTGACTGATTACTGACCAGGAACTTACAGCTACTGTGCGACAATGAAAACGGATCCTTGTATCACCAGGCGCCACATATCACAACCATGGCATCCTGTCACGTGACAGATTACGCTAAAGCACATCGTTATCTGGCTCTTAGTTTTCACTTTGGAGAACCGTGGTATCTTGCAACGATTTTCCCCAGCGCTCTTAAAGGTTAATGGACTTAGGTTAACAAATGCGAGTATTACAGAGTAGCATTGTACTGAAAGACCATGACATGGGTAGGGTGGTTTGGGGAGCTGAGTTTGATTTAATGAAACAACCCAAAACATCTGATAATCACGAAAAAGAACAACAACAAAAACAAAACAAAACAAAACAAACAACACAGAAACTTATGTGATTGTTTACTAAAATAGTTAAACTGAAGTATAAAAAAGAACACATCTGACCGCACAGGCTGGATCCCGCCCAACATCTGGAATACTATGCATGACGGGTGATTATGTCTTAGAGCGAATTTCGTTTATCACAAGACTGATAACTGATTGCACATATGCTATGTACTTGTAGATATGATTTTACAGGCTTTAGCACTTGGTGTAAACATAAACACTAATGCTGTTTACAATTGTGGTAAAACCAAGATGCACATGCATGGTGCTTTAAACCAAGAAGCATATTCAGGACGAACCCACCTCCAAGCGAAATCACGTGACTTAGACGACTGGGTCGCCTGTCACCCCAGAGAGTACTAACGAATTTCCAAGAGGAAATACCATGGTAGGAATGATGACTATGCTTGATTTTCTATACTTTTGTACGATGTTACATGTTAATAATAGAATCGTACAGTGAGCGAGCGATTTATTTATTTGCATATGAGGTCATACGACCTACAGTACAAAAATAGTACAGAATATAGTTGTTGAGTTACCAAATGTGTACATAGTATGGAGCAAAGAAACGTGTTTGCTAACAATGTTTCGCAGAATAAACGTGTTTCAAATATTTCACAGAGTTGTTGATGGTATTAAAATCTGAGGATGTACAGAGACTTTGCATACAAGACTATGCGACCTACAGTACAAAATAGTAATGTAATAGTTGTTGAGTTACCAAATGTGTACATGGTATGGATCGAAGAAACGAGTTTGGTAACAATGTTTCGCAGAATAAACGTGTTTCAAATATTTCACAGAATTGTTGATGATAATAATATCAGAGGATGTACAGATACTTTGAATGGAGACGTAATGCCCACTTGATGTCTTTGGACGTATTTGCATATCATACCATACGACCTTCAATACAAAATAATACATAGTATGGTTCTTGAGTTACCAAATGAGTACATAGTATGGATCGAGGAAACGTGTTTGCTAACAATCGTACATAAAGATACGTAAACGAAACGTAAAGATATCTCAGTATCTAATTAGTGCAAATATATTTCGCAGTTTGCTGAACTTTGGCAGAAAATCCTTACAAAATAAAGTGTTACTGTCAGTATATCCTGTCTCTAGGAATTCCAGACGTCATTATTTGACGTCCATTTAACGAGCTTTATGACCAAGACCGGCACTCATTTAGAGTGACTTGGCCGAGTGATTATAACAGTGAGATGGGTCTGTGAATTAGAAATAGCCAGTAAAACATGCAACACGGGAGCAACATTCATCTGAGACCCATCTACTTCAAGCCTTTGTCCAGGCAAGAGATGTGTCAGACAGATGTTATACAGACAGACTAGCTTCGTTAACGGCTTGAGATAACACTGCTTTGACCTAGTGCACATAAGTCGAAAATACGTAATAATGCATGATGTATTATCCTGATTTGGTAGCGGGATTCACTTTGTTCATCTTAATGTTATGCTGCTGTATTAACTTTACATTTGCACAACACATTTACAGAACATACACATACGTCTACCATCATTAGAATTGCTACAGTTTAACCATGCCAAGGCAAATAGTCGTGATCGACATAACGAGAAAGAAGATGTATCGTTATTGTTGCAGCAGTCAAAGTACTGGTACTTTAGTGTCATTCATCTTCATGCTATTTGGAACCCGACTTCCTTTCCTTTTGTCCACAGTTCCTTCCCAAGGAGAGCATTTGTGTAAACACGTATGCATAACGTTTAGATTTAAAAGACTAGACCTGACCTCACTGCGTGCCCACAAGAAGATGGATCGGCATATTTACTTGACTTTGTCTTTATCTATCACAAACAGCAAAATAAATTTTAGATCCTGACTTATGTGTTTTGATAACCGATCCTTTAGGGTTGCACTGCAGCTTAAGTATTGAAAGAATGAGTTGCATGCCTGGTGTGTATAGGCACGCACAAGAACCATGGTAGGTTCTATGGAAGTTAACATCCATCAAAACCACCGATGGCAACACACTCGGTATGTATAGTATGACCTTCGCTGGCAAATGGTGCAGACAAGTATCCGTCTCCTCACAGGAAACGTAAATCGTTCGATCCATGAAACAAACTTCAAATCGACAGTGATGACAAGAAGAGAATCAGTCTCAGTGCATCCTTTCATTGTAGCTTATCAATAGCGGATTCAATTAAAGAACAAGAATAACATGAAAATCTGGGGATTATATGTTCTGTTGCGGTTTACTCAGGATATGACCATGTCCAAATGCAAGCCTTTGCTTATAAAACTCATGCAGTCTTTTATTGTTTGATCAACTGGGCAGGGAAGAAAGGCAACTGCCAGAAGCATACAGCCCAATAAAAAGTCGCCTTCTTGGAAATGAACTCAGAAACCAGCTACGTATATGCAATACGTGCTTGTGCTGGTCTTGTCTAGTGATGGTGACTATTAGTGTTCTTCTTATAGGACTTTCATACTTCTGTCCAATTTTGTGGACACGTCTTAGTAGTGTTAATATGATCTGCCCTGTTCAGCTGAAGTTTCTTACTATATGAGAGTCTGATAGGTTCATCTGCATCAAAACAATGGTCTCACGACGCTAATGCCACTCTTTCCATTTAACTGTTGATTGGGATTCTAAACACTGACAAACTGAGTGCCTGACCTTTCCTCCGATCATGTAATACATACATCTGCAACTGCAGAAAGTTCAGCATTCTACAAAATCTGCACCTAACACAGGACAGCATTGTTGTCGTGTTTTCTCCTGAGAGGGAATATGTAAGATCATCATTCAAAGTATATTTATTCGTACCATGTTTTTACTCGTCGAAAATGTGTTCATGTCCTGCTTTGCTAAATTTGTGACAATCGCCAACGGCTGAAGGGAGGGTGTAAATCCAGTCCATGCAGGTAGCAATGTAAGTCACCAGGGTCTCCAGCATGGTGATCTACTTTCTGTTGCAGTCAGTCTATAGCCCATTTTTACAATGTGTTGTATGTTTTATATTCCTGTAATTAATGCTATCAACTAGGTTTAAGTTATACCTCTGATGATCTAGTTATTCTACTGTCCATCGCTGGCCAGTTTCCTATTCCGAATGTATTTCGTCTTTATATCCAAATTGGCCGATGTGACGTTTAATTTCCAACTCACTCACTCACTTTGTCGTGTTCTTGTGACGCACTAACGATACATGCCTTGGTAGGTCAGTATTACATAAGTTTCTTTTTTGTTCTTTGGAGGCGATCCCATGTTTTTTCAAATCCCACTCACCACCCCAAACTCGTAATATTCTGTCCCCATTACATTACTGAGATGTGTTCTTTCTTTTATACTTCAGTTTATCTCTTTTGGTAAACCGTGACATAATGTTGCTGTGTGGTTTTTTCGTTCGTAACCTTCCAGAGCGCTGGGGAAAATCGTTGCAAGATACCACGGTTCTCCAAAGTGAAAACTAAGAGCCAAATAACGATGTGCTTTAGCGTAATGTGTCACGTGACAGGATGCCACGGTTGTGATATGTGGCGCCTGGTGATACAAGGATCCGTTTTCATTGTCGCACAGTAGCTGTAAGTTCCTGGTCAGTAATCAGTCAATAATCTCCTGTCCAATATGACTGAATTTTAGGTCAACGATTTAGGGTAAACACGACTTTTGAAGCTAAACATACCTTTGGGAGCAATGAGGCAACATACCCATGTTATTGGACGGCGCAATCTACATCACTACTATTCCGTTCAAGGCAATTGGTTTGGATAGGTTCCAGTTCTGCTTTGTTTCCTATATTAGTGGACAATTCACATCAGATATCGATCCTGCATTTTCTATCTGTGACAATTTCTGTCAAAGAAAGTAAAGAGTCTAGACATAAATAATCTGAATGAGAAGGTAAATGAGTAGTCCAGCGATTAGGTCTATTGAGGCATTGTTGCCGTAGCGAGTCTGAAACAAAGCTCCGGGTCTGTTCTGACAATAGGTCTACTGGAAGCATTTACGCCGGTCCTCTAGCTTCGCCACAACAGTGATGTACTGTATATGTTTTCATTAAAATATGGTGTTAACCTGATTGCAAATGTCAGCTTCAGAATGTTCATTTCAAGTCAACACAATACAAAATACCGTACAATGATGACTTCAGTTCAAGTCAATACAATAAAAATACACTATAATGATATAACGCCGATGTAATGAACAGTAGGGGTTAAATTTGATATGCAGAAGTTATGTGATGACAAGTAGCTGACTATTGTGTCACAAGCAACAAAGCAACCAACATGTGCACTGTCCTGGATGGTATGATTATGGTACAGCCGTGTACACGCTGGGAGACCCGTGAAGATCCGGGTTAGAATTGATCTCCAGTAACCCATGCTTGAAGTACACACTGTGAAATAAGATGCCGTGATCTCCCTTTATGGCTGACAAAATACACTCATATCATTACACCGGCAATAGAGGGCTTCTCAGACGCAAGGATTGCAGGTTACACAAGGCACAAGTATATGATGTCAGTTCAATATCCTGGAAACGATGACACTAGACTGCTTCAGATACCCTTCTTTCACTGCTACCACTACGCTGAGGATAAGAAATGATTCAGCCACGTTTGACGTACACAGGAATGGAACCAGTAATGGTTATTCGATGAGGTACGAGATTCATGGTTGTGGTTTAGGCAATATGTTCAACGTGTTGTCTTGTCTAGTTCTGATAACATTTGTACTTCTGGGGTCAAATCAATTTTTGAAATAAATACTTTCCTTCGCCGGGCAGTTTATTTTAACTATTTCTTCAGTAGTAGTTACATATTTCCTGATCTTAACAGTAAATTTATGGTCAGTTGATCAACCCCAGTCTATCAAAGCAACAACGGCAAGAAGCCAAAGTATGGTAATGAAGGTCAGGCCAGTGTTTTCCGACTGTCCCCGTCAATTCTGAACCACTGGTCTTCATTTCGGCCATTGGATCCGTAAATACCATTTATTTCATTAACAGTTGCGAGGCTGGGAAGATGGTAATGAGCAGCAACTGCAGACTGATGATCCTTGACACGGAAACCTCAAACCCGGGAGACAAAAGGAATCGGGCACAAATCACTGGAATTATCGCTGGAACACCGCAAGGACTGTCGCTTTTACGAGGTTCAGTGAATGTGAGTGCGGGGCGTCTGGCTGGAAATATACGCTTTGAGACGGGCAACGTCAATGGGCGAGTACTGGTGATTCCTGTACATTACTCGCGCAGGAACGACAATCATTTGGTGTACTGTACAAAGGTATAACAACCAAAACCGAACGACCCCCAAAAAACCAACAGCAACGCGAAGCAAACGCGTGTAGTATGGGTTATTTTTCGTGTTGCTTTTAGTCTCGGCATGGCATTTTTCAAACTTCGTTACTAAACTTCGTTAACTAAATGTGCGGGCGGCATGAGTCATAATAATACAAATTCCATTATTTGCACTTATAAAATGGTTTGAAATTTCCCAAGAAAACGAATCATACCAAATGCAAAGGTCAACGATATCAACTCAAAGACCTAAACGTTTTGTGACTCTGTATCAATACAAACGAACTTTAATACATCAATTCCATGTTATTGACATCTAACGGAGTTATATGGAATGTAGGAAAACATTTGCGACATTGTGTTCACAGTGGGGAAATATAAATTATTAGTGTGGCTGCATATGTGTATATGGACAAACATATCTAATTTTTCCGCTACAAAAAGGAAACGAATGTAATCGGGAGGTTCTGGAGACAAATATATAAAGCCGCTACTGCATTGTTATATATCAACCTGTTTCGTTTGGGAATCCCTGCTTCTTCGTCCACAAGAGTTTGCTGACGATTTCATGTTTGGATTTTGTGGCAGTATTGTATAGCTAAAACCAACGCTGTAAACGAAAGGTATAAGGAAAGGAAACCGAATCATTTATAGAATACTTACATCTGAATGCCTGAAGAACACACGCTCCAATCATTATTGTCAGATTGGGCGGTAAGTGTTTGTTCGGGGTGCTCCTGATGCAGCTTCTGAAGACATGAATACTGCAAGATAAAGAGTTCAATAGAGTATCAGAGGTTCAGTTAAGAAAGCATCTGTCGTGGGAAAGCCGACAACATGTCTAAACTTCTTCTATCTTGAAATGTATTATTCAATATATCTGACTGGACACAATTGATATCGAATATTTGGCTGTCGTTGTCAGACAGCATGATTGCATCGTGGTGTGAAATCATAGTGTCATTCATGCAGACTAATTGTTCCAATCGATAGAAATATCGATTATATATATACAGAAAGATATTGTGTTTCATGATCACTGAATATGGAAGAGGACTTCATTAGCGACCTCTGAATCATGCCCTGTTCCGCCATTTTGAAATATTCATGAGTTGTGTCCCTTGGGTACACCAGGCACCAGTGACTGTGGGTTCGAATAACGTTTGGCCACAATTATGTTTCCAGGTTAGTCAGTATGGTACCATACCCGATGCTCGTGGGTTTCATCAATATAAATAGCGTGTTAACATTTTAAATATATATTCTTAGCATCACTATTTGAATACTGTTCAAATAGTAGCTCTAAACTCACCCACTGAACATCTCCATGTCCTCTCCACATGACACCTGTTAAAACAACAGAAACACATTTATATGAATTGTCTCGTTGGAAGTGGTTCCGGCCGTGCTCGCGGCGGTGGGGTAGCCTTGTGGTCAAAGCGTCCGCTCGTCACGCCTAAGACATGGGTTCGATTCCCCACATGGGTACATTGTGTTGAGCCAATTTGTGGTGTCACCGGCCACGATATTGCTGGAATATTGCTAAAAGCGGCGGAAAACCGTATTCACTCACTCACTCAGTCACTCCGACCGTGCTTACGCACCCGTAGACA